TATATATATATATACTTGATTAGTCACTATCAAGTGGCTAATTTGTTTGGTTTATCTGATTGTTTACTACTATCTGTTTCTACAACACATTAATCTAATGTAATGTAAAATAATTCAATAAGTTTCAATAATGTATTTATTTTATTAATTGAAATATCGTTTGAAAGTTGTTTAGAGAAAAAAAATTATTTATTTTTTTTTTATTTCACATGAGAAATCATCTTCCTGATTAAAATTTCTTGAATCTTTATAAAGATACATGTAAGCATTGTGAAAAAGAAAGATGTGCAATGTTATTCGTCATCATATCAAGTTTTTTTAGAATATATAAATATGTATCAAAACTCATATTTTAATATATCATTACTAGTTTAGACAAGATACAAAATTGATGTAATAAATTGGCATTTTTCTGATAAATTTATATTCTACAGATAAGCTATATCCAGCTGTAAGTCCAGCAGTGTGAAAATAAAATAAATTTGGTTTTGTACAATTGTGTTTATTTTTTTATGTGTATTTTTAATTTATATGTACATATAATATTATATATATTACAATATATATATAAATACAGTCATAAATTTTAAATTTTAAATTTCCTCAGCAAAATATTACGTTTAATATTTATTTTTTATTTAAGTTTAAGTTTAATGTTTATTTCATTTAATATCGTGTCACCAATGTTGTTTCAAGATACATTTGAAAACAATTTATGCTTATAATTATAAATGAAACATGCTTGGTGTCGTATAAATATGATTCATTATCATTATTTTAAATTGCTTTGCATGCTTTGCTAAAAAAACGTATAATATTAGAAATGATCATAGGTGTATCCAATGTAACTTATTGTTAGTTTATTCGCCATACCAGGTAAGTAAATTTTATATAATAATGCCTTCATTGAATTTAATGGCATAGTAGCTGTGCATAGTGCAAAAAGGGTAGAATCCTGAACATAGGAATTAATACGCTTTACAGTACCTGACAAAATATGGAATATAAATGAATTAACAGAAGAGGAATTACGTGATTTACATTTCGAACTTGATTATGAATCTTTAGAGGAGCGATGGTGGGAACAAGAGCCACTGAAGATGTTAGATATGAGCTGCAATAGTTTAACTGCAATCGATAATAAAATAGAATTTCTAACAGAACTGAATACTTTAAACGTATGTATAAATTATTTCTTGTTTCAATCATAAAAGTGTATGTTTTCAATATTTTTATATATGTATGGTCTTAAATATTTTAATACTGTCTTAAATATTTAATACTTTCTAGTTACATAGCAATTTGTTGGAAGAACTCCCACCTGAAATCGGTTCTCTGCGCAAATTAAAAATAGTAAATCTATCAGACAATAGACTAAAAAATTTACCTCATGAATTTTATATGTTGGAGGAATTATGCGAATTGTATCTAAGAAGTAATCAAATAAGTATACTCGAAGCTGAGATTGGAGATTTAATCATGTTAACTCATATGGTAAAAAACACGTCATTATACGTGATTATGTAAAGCCAATTTTTTAAATGAAATAATTGTATATACATCTTTTTAGGATTTATCGTATAATAATTTAAGAGAATTACCGATCGGAATGGGATATTTGGTGCGATTAAAGACATTGAATTTATGTCAGAATATGATAAAAGAGTTACCACCTGATGTAACAAATATGCGATGTGAGTTTTTCTTATACACAAACGTATTAATAATTGATACAAAAATGATTTATATTTTGCAATATTCATTATTCGATAAAATGATTATTGTATTTTTCTGATAGCATTAAAAACGTTAGATATCAGCTTTAATCAATTGGAGACGATACCACCATTAGGTGAATTACGGAAAGTAGAAAGAATTATGTTCCAGTCGAATAATTTGCAGGAATTTCCAGACATATCAGGTTGTTCAGCTTTAACAGTATTGCATTTGGATAACAATAACATTCCTGTATGTGTTAATGTATATATTTATGCTTAAGCCAATCAAGACTAAAATTCAGCTTGCTATTATAAACGCAGTTTACTAAAGCAATAATATTCTCTCTCGTAGGAAATTGATCCGCAACGCTTAGAGGCGGTAGGGCATCTAAAACAGCTCACAATGCAAAATAATATAATTGAAGTAATACCTGAAGAAATAATTAAATTAATAAATTTGGAAGTTTTTGACTTGTCACATAATAATATATCTTTGTATGTCACATAACTTTTCTTTCTCTTAATACTATGATTTTATATATTTAGAGTGTTCATTAAAATGGATCTTTTTTACAGAATACCTTATTGCATCGGCATATTACCCAATTTAAAGCAATTTGCAATCGAGGGAAATAATATAAAAAATGTAAGAGGAGATATAATACGATGCGGTACACCTCGCATTTTAACACATATTCGTCAAACTGTAGATGTTAATACAAGTATGAACACCAGAGAATTACTACAACCTAGTGCTAGTAATAGTATTCATCCTGATAAGTATGTAAAGATTAATTTATCTTAATAACATATCTTAATAATATGATCAACAAGATGTGTGTCATCATATTAAAAAAAATTTTTGAAAAAATATTTTATGTATAAAATCAAGTATATAATTTATAATAATACAGATATACGATGAAGAACACAAGATTGTTCAGCTTAGCTGGGCAAAATCTTTCGGAAATATCCGAAGAAATCTTGGAAGATGCAGCGGAAGCCTCTGTCACAACTATCGACTTAAGTAGAAATAAGCTATCAGAATTGCCTAATAAAATGTCAGCAATCGTTACGGTGACAGACTTAAAGTTGATTTCAAATCATTTAGCAAGCTTGCCAGAATGGATTGGTGAAAAGTACAAGTGTTTGCAAATTTTAGACATAAGTAAAAATCACTTGCAGTCCCTACCATCAAACATCGGTTGCTTGAAATACTTGCGAGATATTGATATCTCATTCAATAGGTATTAATTTTGATTTGTGCAGGATATGATTTGTGCAAGGAATGTTTCCAACATTCCTTTTTGACGTAGAAATATAAGTTTATGCGTTGAATATTATTCTGTAGGTTTACTGAGTTACCAGAAACTATTTATGATGTTGAAGCATTGGAAAGTTTGAATGCCAATGACAATCAAATCGCGAAAATAGATGTATCGCTGTTGGAAAAATTAAAAAGTCTAGCAGTTTTAAATCTGACAAATAACAATATCGCTCACGTACCTCCTGAACTTGGAAATTTGAAAAACTTAAGGTAAATAAATATTTTGCTGCATAATATTGTTTATATTTTCATCATACATTAGGCGAGTTTTTTAATTCATTGATTGATTAATCACATTATGCGCAGATATAATTTTGCTTCATAAATGCGATTGATTAATAGATGAATTAAAAAACTTATTGATACTTATTGTTAATATAATATTATTTGTTTTCATATAGCTGTATTGCTTAATGTTTTTATCTACAATATCGTAATATAAACGTTTTTTTAGGAATCTATTGTTATCTGGGAATTGTTTCAAATATCCCAGACAAGCAATTCTGATGAAAGATACAGAAGAAATACTGAGCTATCTACGTAATCTAATACCTCAATAACGGAGAGAAAACAAAATAGTTTATAAAAAGTATCCAGTCTCGAAACTGTTAAATATTTAATTGTTATTATATGAGTGTATTGCGCGGAAATATTATGTCTACGTATAAATACGTTTTTATTGATTTTTAAAAATTATGTACAATCTCATCCTAGATGACACATCAAGTGCAAAATAATTATAATAAGCTATAGATCAAATTAGTATAAACTAATATTTATATTATATAATATATTATCGATGTAAATTTAGTTAAGGAAAAATCATGCGTTCATAGAAATATATATAAAAAAATGATAGAATATGAGAATGTATAAATGCAGCAATTATATCATATTTTGAAAGAATGATATTTACGATAAGATAGAATTTAGATATTAGAATAAATGTGACTGAAGTGGAAGCTAATAAAGAATATAAAGATGAAAGAAAGTCAACG